GAGTGCTGCTATTCCAGTGCTGTTCATTATCCTCCTCCACACTTTAACAGCTGGCCTAGAGATCTGCTGGGGATCCAACAGATCAAGGAACAGAAGTGGAGGCAGTTCAGCTAAAATTATATTAGACTGGTACCACTTTAAGAGTCAAGACCTGTGTTTCCTAACACATCATTTAAACTCCATTTAACCAGGTCTTTATACAGATCAAATGTATTAGTCTGATGTCTGATGTCTTCTGACCATCCACATAAAAAACCATGCCATGCAAAGCTGGACTGGAAAAGTAGTCTCTGAATTTACGGCAAAATAGTCTAAGCATGATGATATTGAATTAAGATAATAATAATATATAATAATAATAATAATAAGTATGGAAATGGTGAGGAGCCCATGTTGGTACAAAATAATTGAGTCCCGTCCAAATCAACAATACTGACAGAATGACGAGAGATTTGCAGATATGTCCCCTCTTCACCCGACATACTCAGTGCGCGTCTGGCCATTACTTTTCAATGTAAAGTAATTCTAACATTCTTCCAACTGTAAAACTGATTGGGACCTATTTGACCGCAGACCGAAGCTATAAAAACATTAACTTTTAACGAGGCTATAATGTGCAAAAGAGTTAAAATATATCAATAAGAAAAGTCTTGAGTGAAAGGTGAAAGAAAAGTTCAGTTAGTAGACAGAGGTGAATCACCCAGCGACTCTTGATTTGCAGATAGAATAACAAAACTATAAGCTCAAATATGTCTTTGCGGCTCAGACAATTTTTTCTTTGTACCCAACCTCAATCTCTTTGATGAGGTAAATCTGCTGACCCAGGAAGATCGACGATGTTGGTATTACAACTATCCTGAGGGAAGACAGATGGATTGTTCTGAACCAATGTGTCATGACTGTGCAGGTCTATCCGAATAGTTTTGTTGAGATATTTAAAATACACAACAAGCCAACACGGTGGTGCTTAAGGAAAAGTCCGAGAATCAGCAGGGAACCACATGGGACCATGAATGTGTGTAAAACGACCGAAGGTTCATGCAAATCTATGCCAACATGTGTTGAGGAAGCCTCCGATTTTCGCAGTCTGGAGCACGAAAGTTAGAATTGCCTATTCCTAAAACCAGTACATCACATACTGCTGCAAGCATGGCATAATTAGACACATACAATAAAGAATGTCGGCGAAGTAGCAATTATATGTTGCGCTATGGCAGCAGTGCATGTGAACACAGGTACAGCAGGACAGAATTTGTCACGTGTACAGCAATTCTCTGCAACCAGACGTTACGCACAAAGTTCGAACCAGAATCGTGAGTGGAATGGCAACTGACGCGATGGGGGGTGTACTGCCCATGGGTGGTATGATGCCAGCTGAAGACACAGCACACTCTTCTTGTGAGCTGTGTCCTGCACTTTAACAGAGGACTCAAGGAACAGAGCGGACGTGATGGGATTAAGGTGAAGCAGACTGTAATTGCATGAGCTTTGAGATCGCCTTCAGTGTGGCGATGGGTAAGTCGAGAGATAGGCTGTAGTGAGACGACACTTGCCGTATCTCAAACAATAGTAAGATGCTAAGTACCAGTAAGTATGCACTGCCCCCAGGATTTGAAGAAGCTTTGTTTATATGAAACCTTTGTCTTTGACCAGAATTCCACTTAGCGACCTGAGCGTCGGCCCCCCAGCGGGGGCAGCAATTGCAAAGTCAACACGAAACAGCAACAGCTATTGTGAAAGACCATTCAGAGTGAAGTAAGACAGACACCGTGCCAATCGGTGTCGACATCCCACTCACGTTGATTACAACCCAGGCAGGATTGTACATACACTCTCTCCCAGTACCGAGGCAGATGTGTCAGATCATCTGTACTTATGTCCAGATGAGTACGCACCTCTCCGGATTGCTGCTTAGAACAAAACAACTCATAATAGATCTATATAACACAGCTGATGTCATTATATGGTGTGGTAGTAATGTGATGTGTGTGTGATATAAAGTGATAAAAGAACAGGAGAGAAGCAGGCGAAGAGCGGGTGAACTCAGAGAGAACGTCAGCGAACCACGAACTCAACAACTCACTGAACTCAGCGCAAGACACGAGAGAACGAAAAAGGCGACATCGGGAAAAGGAGAGAACCGACAGAACATCATGTTGCTCTCTCATCTAAATGCTACATGACGGTCACACAACGTAGCAAATATCTCGTGTGCATACTCACGGATCAGTAAAACATAACAACTAACTCAAATGCGCTCTCAGTCGACTACGCCACTCAAACTCAACATGGTTGCAGAGACAGCGGGAACCAACGAATGCGTGACGAACGCCGACGACCGAATCGACGAGAAGATGACGAGAAAGAAGAAAAGAACACAGAACCAGAAACCGAGAAGAACGACGAGAGACGAGAGAAGAAGACAACAACTCAGAACCAGACACGAGGATGCGACCAACGAAACAGAATGACCAGAAAGATGACGAGAGAGAGAGAACACAGTACGAAGAAATCAACCACCAGGTCTAAAAGATCTATCATGTTGTACTCAGCGTACACTGCAACACCATAATAGATTTTAATATACTTGACTCACCTACAAAAGCCTGAGAAATCGTGCTTCAACTCATGCAATTTGTGGGTAAATTGAAAAAAGAGAGGACTGAGCACAAAGAGAGAGTGACGTGGAGAGCGGAGAAAGACTAAATCAATCCCTTCCTACTGGCTGTATTAGTAAGGCTGCCAGGCTCAAGGGGACACCGAGAGTGTAAATGTGGCTTGGGGTGCTGCAATTTGTTCTAGGGGATGAGTCAAATACAGCGAACCATGACAATGGGAGTCGCAGACACAGAATAGCTGTTCTTTTCCCCTTTGAAGACTAAAAGCACACACATACACACAGGTTACATATACAGCAAACACACACACACACACATACACACATCACACACCTTGCTAGATGACCAATGGGCAGGGTGATGACTGGCACCACCGGAAGTTAGAGCAGGGTGGCGGCTGGACTGGGGTGCTTGGAGGCAGATGACGATCCACAGAGGGGAAGTCAGACAGCAGAAGAAGGCGCAAAACCAACTGACTGACACATACGGGGTGGAATCTAAGGGGAGAAGTAAGGAGATGCAATTATTTTCCCTATCGGGTGGAGGATTTTGGGCACAGCATGCCATCTAGGGGAAATGGTCGGAAACCAATACTGG